AATCGTCACAATTTATATCAACAAATATTACATATCATGACGCAAAACTTACACTAAATGCAGCATCTCTTCCAACAGCAGGTATGTCATACTCTGCAGTTATGTCTAACCCTCATCATCAGTATCTCAGACTGATCCGCCAAGAGCATCATCTCCTGATCGAGTATCAAAGGGTTTACGTGACCCTTTGCACCTTCTTAATAAAATCCAGTTCATTGAAGACATGGATGTTTCCCCTTATCTTCATGCGTGCATCAGAAGCAAGTCGCTACAGGCGGGGAAAAGTAGATCCCGAGTACTTCCACCTTATAACATGAATAATATTCTACCATGACATTGATGAATGCTTGATTCTGATTGGTTAAAAAGAGGTTTCCTTTTTGCTACGGAAACCCATTTCAAATATATTAAGCCTTTTCACAAAAAAACGTGCGTATGAATACATAGATAGCCTACATATCGATTCTTAGAAAATGGCTGCCGATCGATCACCTCCATATGAACTGTAAAACGTATCTATATTTCCTCTAATGCATGCTGGATCTCAAATACCAGCCAGGTTTCTAATACACGCCGAGTCAAGGACTCTCATGAAATTAATAGCCGGCATAGCGTCAAACAGTGGAAATACGGTAGTTTGATATCGGATGTTTGGGGCGTTGGCTAGGCCGCAACCCTGACTGCTTCAATGATGACATTAAAAGATTTAACGAAGGCATATCTTTTGCATACAGATGAAATGTGTATGAAACTGTTAGGGAAATGTTCTGTGGAGACCACAATCGGAACAGTTTAAGCTATTTCCTCATTGAAACAACCGACAATGAAAGTAAAATATAACATTATAAAAATTGTTTGAAAAAACTTTATTCATGACAACCTGTTGTTTACAAACTTTTTTGTGATCGATATTCGTCGCTATCTCCGTCAACCACCATCGTAGGAATTTCGCAGAAGAGGATTTGAAAGTCAATCACTCAGAAAACACTTGTCCATTCGAAAATCCACGAAAACAAAGTCCTGACATCATTGACTTGATGAAATTCATTTCAATACCAGCACAATTAAGAAAATCAGACATGACCCACTATGTCTGGGCCACGATAGTCTCATTCCATTCACACTCTGGCATGGAATCCATGAAATCTTGAAACTGACAGGTCACACCATGCAGATACTGAGATAGGCCCAACCTCGTGTAAAATGTCCGGCTCGTCTGCAGGCTAAAAAGCGGCTGTTCAGTCATACTCAGTTCCATTGGTAATCATATTGTACCAGCAGGCTCGATCATTCCCAGTAAATCTACAGGTTAATGTTGAACCACATCAAAGGTCGGGGTTGTCATCTTGCTTAATTTAGCTAGCAACGGAGAATGTAAACACACGATTGTCAGCCATTGACAGCTGCGAGGTGTGAGTAACCATGATGTAGGTCAAGTTCTGCCATATCCAAGCTCGGGGTGGAGAGGCATTTACTTTGACGTTATTATTGTTTACTAGGGGTAATTGCCAACTAACTAATAACACTTACACATGTTGAATGTATAGAATGTTAATTCAAAACGTTTGTTGTAGAAATATATTCGTTTAGCATTTTAAAACCTTTTTTCTACAGCCTGTCATCCCTACAATAGAAATGATGGCATGTTCGATTTCCAAGAATGGCCTCTCTCGCCAAATTCCAAGAGCTGACAGTCAGTCCACAGTGTACAACAGTGTACAAGTTGGTAGAAACTAAAACATCTGTCTTTGGACTAAGTTTTGAGTGTTATTTGTCAACTTCTTTGAAAAACTATGTGTTTTGAACACTTATTTTGAACTACTCACGACTATGGTGTTTTTAATCTTGACCTTTAGTAATAATTGTTACATTTATATCTACCTGTGACCACTTTTCGGAATGTTCTAAGATTGTTGACCTGTGTGCCTGTGTTGTTACGCGTTGCAAGAGAGCGCCGTTTTCAAAGCGTGGTAGGTTGGAGATAAACCTAAAGCATTCGGTTCGAAATTAAAATAAAGAGGTATCTACTCTACAGTTGGACTACATCAAATTTCAAAACACAGTAGGTTTATCTCCTTAATAACTCCCTAATTCAGTGCAATTGCAGAGGTCTAACGACCAATTTTAATGACATTCCATTATTGGTAGAGGGTTGTAAACCATCAACATTCTGTCTTCAAGAGACATACATCTTTCTCAAGCAGACAAATACATTTCCGTCAGTACAGTTTATATCATTTAATTTCTCTGGAGAATTCTCCATCATAGTGAGACAGAATGTGTCCCTCGTTACCAATCTCCAAGCTGTTGCAGTACGACTTACTATGTGTCCCAGAATCACTGAATAACTTGCATATTTTCAACGATGGTTTGAATACATATTAACATCCTGCTACTGGGGCGTGTTCTGCTTTAGATCTGTCGCTAACAGATTCTAACTTGTTAAATGAATTTACATGGTCGGTCAATAATGATTTGTGTAGAAGCGACAATTTCCCTACAATTCTGAGAACCAATAATCCATCAGACGTTCCACTTTCATCACGGTGGAATTTAAAAAGGCTAACTAGTCTTTATTTGAAAACTTCAGCATTGACAAGTTCAAACCTGACATTTTCAGGAATATTCCTGGCCCTATTAAGTTATTCTCAGAGCAACTGAATGAAACTGATACTGAAACGATACCAAAGTCCCCTGCAAACCCACACATTCGAAAACCGCATTTCGATAGTACTGACAAACAAGCTAGAAAGAATAGGAAAAAGGCTGACAAATATTTCCTCAGAATCCCTTATGTTCATAATTTTAATAATGTTATAATTACAAATGCTAAAGCACGACGTAATTTTAAGCAGATTAAACTTGTGTCACGGAAAAATAAAGCATCAAGGATTAATTCTGAACACATATCCAAGGTGTGGAATATGATTCTAAAGATTCTAAAAAGTTCTAAATCTAGCATTCACCTCCAGGTGACCGTATACTGACAAACAAATCTGATTATAAACAAGTTCAGCGAAAATTTAAACAGACATTCTTAATCAACACATCAGAAATGAGTATCAGAAATACAGAAACAAGAGGAAAAGTAAATAGTAAGTTTCACTCCATAAGATACATACTGCCTTCGACCAAGCTCATGATACTGCGACAGGTGATGATAACATTCACTATCAGCTCCTTAAGTTTTGGCCTCAGTCATGTCCTGAGACACTCTTAGAAATATTTGATCAGATTTAGACTTCAGGGAATTTTCCTCCATCATGGCATTATGCCATTGTAGTCCCTATAACTAAACCTGGACGGGATCATAGCAATTCATCAATCATATAGAAGCATGGTATTTTAAAAGATTTACATGATTATTGATTAAGATGTCGTTTTGCTCAGTTTGTGTCCTTGTTTTGACAGGCAGACAATTAGAAGTTGTCATGTTTGATCGTCGCTTTACAGCGCTCAGAGCATGGTTCATTTCTGAGACAAAATGAAGACGACATTTCATAAAAAGCCAACATGCTAGATCCAGAAAAGTACGGGCCATTTTGTTTTGAGTTGAAACTACAGGAAATGCACTGGCAATGAAAGTAAATGATTTCCGAAGAAAGCAAGCTACCAAACACAACTTTGTGACAAGGCATTAAGCACGTGACCTTGGACATCACATGCAAAGGCTGGTATGCTAGATTTACCATTGTCACTCAAACATACCGTCGATGATCGACGCCGCTCTGGACGCCCAAGGGCAACAACCCCAGCCCAGGACAGATAAGTCCGATCGATGGCATTAAGAAATCGGTTGCAAGCTGATACTTAGATAAGGTACCGGTTGTAACATAGAGTGAGAGTACTTGTACAGACGGTGAGAAATTGTCTGCACAGATCTCCTTTGCGTGCACGACGTCTACGCGCCATCCCCAAACTTACTGCACGTCATTTGAATCAGAGGCGTCAGTGGTATAGGGAACTTCAGCACTGGGATAATAGATGCTGGGCTAATGTCATGTTTTCTGACGAAACGTTAACTTCGTACAGCATGGACGTTTTAGGGGTGGGTCCATAATAGTACGGGGTAGTATCACAATGACTGGCCGAACTGCACTCCATATTGTCCATGGCAGAGCCACAGGTCAATAATATCGGGAAAGGATCATTGCACAACGTGTTGAACAACGTTTCATCATTCAAGCGAAACCCAGTCCTGACCTTTACCTTGGCAAATTTCGAATTTCACCCCCGACCTCTTTAACGACCTAGTGCGCCACCATATCATCACCCAAACCATCAGAAGCCATTAGATCTGATCGCCTACTCCACAACAGATATCATAATTCGCAATCCAAATTTCGAATTTGACCCCGACCTCTTTAACGACCTAGTGCGCCACCATCTCATCACACTAACCATCACAACCCATTGGACCTGATCGCCTACATCCCAGCAGATATGATCATATCATTTTCATTTGCCAATACCATTATGATCAGAAGATATGTCTTGATGATTCCCAACAGAAAGATTGGGCATTATTTCTAGTACTAAGAATAGTCCCATTGACTTACAGGCAGCACAAGTGGGCAAAAGATTGGGTAGCCTAGTTGTTAAAGCGTTCGCGCGTCACGCCGAAGGCCCGAGTTCGATTCCCGAAAGAAGTACAATGTGTGAAGGCCATTTCTGGTTTTCCTCGCCATGATATTACTGGAACATATTTCCATTTCTCGAGATGCAACATTTTTCTCGTGCAGGATTAGCGTATAAAGATTTGAAATCACGTGCAGCATATCGTGATATGAATAATGACACTCTGTGGTAACACTTTACTGAGTGTTAGTTTTTGGCATTAAGCTATACACATTGGAAACATCTCTCCGTAACGTACATACTTCTCCATATGTTTCTATGGTTCGCGTTCTTTTGGAGCTGAGTATACAGGGACAACAACCAGTTGGGCTAAACAGACAAAATTAAGTGAAATGCATTCTTTTTTTATTGCATTGCTCAAAACGGTGCATCATATTCACATTATATGATATATATCAGCCATGATTGTTTAAGATAATCAGTTCTGGATAAGTTTTATAACCCACATTATATATTAAGTCCTTGCTGGTCGTGTGTATCTAAAATAAATTTATGTCACGGTCAAAGAATTTATAGACATATGATAAAGATAGAAATATCTCTCTCTAAATCCGGGCTATGGTGGTCCTCGATGTGAACGGCAGCCTAAGTAGGTTTAATGACACAGCTTGGACTGTAATCGTGAGGGTCGGGTGACAATGATTGTGTTTCACATGTTCTGTATTGTTCAGCATCTGAAATAAACAAAAAGAACATAGATAGATAGATAGATAGATAGATAGATAGATAGGTAGGTAGGTAGGTAGGTAGGTAGGTAGGTAGGTAGGTAGGTAGGTAGGTAGGTAGGTAGGTAGGTAGGTAGGTAGGTAGGTAGGTAGGTAGGTAGGTAGGTAGGTAGATAGATAGATAGATAGATAGATAGATAGATAGATAGATAGATAGATAGATAGATAGATCGATCGATCGATCGATAGATAGATAGATAGATAGATAGATAGAAAGATCGATCGATCGATCGATCGATAGATAGATAGATCGATAGATCGATCGATCGATCGATCGATAGATAGATAGATAGATAGATAGATAGATATTCGTGCTTGTCAAAACTCCTCTTACCACACAAGGTCCTTCGCCGTTCAACGGCTTTTTAGGTGTAATGAAAACTTTAACTTTCATTGTAGTCCTAGACGACGCACAACAGTGGTATTTGTGGCGTCATGATGCCTATGATGTAACAGTGACAACACAACACACACACACACACACACACACACACACACACTAATCTAAACGCGACGTTAAACCCCATTTCACCTCACACCACTCAGAAACGGGTTTGTACATTCTCATTCTTCAGAGAAACTGTTTTGGTAGTTTTCCGATTGTACATTCAACTGTATGTCTGAGATACATACTGGCAGATGTGGTGGACGCGACGGTTGCGACTCTGAAGTCAGGCTGAGCCGGAACAGTCACCGCATTGCTGCGTCTTTGGTAAGTCCTGATGCAGGCCACCACAGTCGCCAGGATGAGGAGTAGGATGGTTCCACCCACGCTACATCCGATGATGATACCGAGCGTGCTGAAAAACATAACAAGCTGCGTTGGGCTTTAACGCCGTATAAAACAGTATGTGTTCATTGATGTTGGAGAGTCTTTCATAAACATTGACATCAATATTGTTATTCAAATGCTCTTACCAATCTCATACACCGCTACTGTACGGGAGTTAGGGTAAGGCGACATAACTCTCATTTTATTGTTGTATTGTATTGTACATTCACAGACTAGATACTAGTATCTGTAGTCTGTTTTACAGACCCTGATACAAATATATATCAAATACAGCCCATGCAAGTCTATAATGTTTGGCAAGTCTAGATTACTACAGTATCAGGAGAGAGTCACTGGGCTCCCTTTTATCATATTTTTATTAAGATAACTGAACAACTGGTTTTTTTCTGTACGATATGTTCATTTCAGAGACTAGATGTTAGTCTATAGTATCTGCTCAATGCGGTTTATTTGTTCCCCGATTAGTGGATCCGTATCGATTACAGTTATCATTCTCAACTCCCTAGGGGGTATACAACCCAAGCTGCCTACGGGCGCTAGAGGTTTTTATATCTACATTGCTCCATTAGTGAACGATGCCTACTACCTACTCACTGTTCACTATTGTGTGTACCAGGGCAGTATGAAGCGATCTTAGCGCTAAGGCGATTTCCCAAACTTTATCATAGACTAACGATAGCCCACTCTCCTACCCAGAGTTCCATGCGGCCGGCAGCCAGCTAGCATAGTACCTCTGCCACAGGCCAGCGCCATGTGACGATTCGTCACATCTTTCACAGTCTATTCAAGATATTGCATATGCTTTTCATCCGTTTCATGTTTGACAAGTCTACACATTTTCATAAATAAATGTCAAAGAATGGTTAACTTTCATTGAGAAAGTATGCAAATACGTAAAAATCTACTTGTTTTGGCGTAGTTATCCTATGTTTACATTGGTTGTACGGCTCCACGTGCTGTCATCGAAGCCCAACGGAGAGCTAGCGACACGGTCACTTTGATGCATAAATATATATTGTCATGCAACTCACTGTCGCAGTTGTAGTAGCATATCTATATAGTTATGCAAAACAATATGTAAAGCGCCCCCAAATACTTGCATTAGTCCGTTCTATACTGATTTCTGAAAAAGCGCGTTTGTTTACAAACAAGAGAAAAGTCCGGTCACGTGATATGCAAATTAGCCTGTGGCAGTGGTGTTATGCTGAGTCACCACTGCGACGGAGTGTGACGATAGCCCTAGCGCTAAGGTCGCTTTGTGGAACGGTCCCAGGTGTTTACAAAGTGTGAGCTGACTGATCGGGTGCTACGAACCACCTGCCTGCCTGGCCAAGAATTCGTTATTTACAGGCCATGGTTATAAAACATGAAATACTATCACCTAAAATTAACATTCTTCTCCTTCTTCTTTGTTGTTAACGCCCAACTAAGAAGTATTCCAGCTACATGACGGCGGTCTGTAAATAATCGATTCTGGGCCAGACAATCCAGTGATTGACATGAACATCGATCTACATAATCTATTCTCTGTGATTGGAATCTATTCTCACCCCGTCCACAAACGTGGCTTACAGATTTAGATCTATAAAAAAAATGACAAGAGCTGTAGACAAACACCTAGTTGAAGATGCACATAAGATTTTTCTTTTAAAAACTTGAGGAAGTGTCACCACCTTGTTATCATACCCTAACATGATTTACGGTTATATCGCAGGAAATACTACAGGGTAATAAAGACCCCTCACTTTTCATATGTTTCCAATGGTGCTTCTGTACAGCACTCCCCGCCACAGCATCCTTCCGAGCAGTAGCTTCCAGTTCCAAAGAACCCACTAGAACCGCAGCGACCCGCATACTCTGCAGCGACAACTAAAACACAAATAGATCACAATACATGCACAATGCAAAGGATTGTTTACAATGCAAATAGACTCACTAAACAGTCCCATAAGTGTGGTAGTGCAATTTTGGTTGTAGCTGCAGTAATTTATATAGCAGCAGCAGCAGTTGTAGTAGGAGTAGTAGTGTTAGTGGTCGTGGTTTGAGCAACAATCCACGCAACTGGGATACGATGACAAGCATCAAGCAAGTCAGCGAGCCTGACCACCCAATCCCGTTAGTCGCCTCTTACGACAAGCATATAGTCGCCTTTTACAGCAAGTATGGGTTGCTGAAGATCTATTCTACCCCGGATCTTCACGGGTCAGTAGCAGTAGTAGAAGTAGTAGTAGTAGTAGAATCTCTGCATGTGTACGCAAAAGACGTACACTATTAACATATCGTTGTTAGTTTTTAACAAATTCAGTAAAAGCGCTGTCTTGTCACTGGAATGTCTGGTGAAGACTCGATTGTTAACAGGCCGCCTTCGTATGTTAGGAGGGATATTGTGCAGTGTTAAGCATCAAATAAACACTTACCTTTTTCGGCAAATATAGTGGCGGGTCCTACCGTTAGCGCAGGAGATGCTTACCCTCTTGGCAAACACCTGGTTTCATTACTGATATTCAGTGACCCATTCACATACGTGCACTACACTTATGAACGTCCAATGTTTCGGAAGACGATAAAGACTGATTATTCTCTGAGGTTGATGTTTTATATTTATTTTCAAAATATGTTCTTCTTCAACTCTCTTTAAAGCAGCTAATATAGCATATATCTCTACTGAACAGGAGATACTCATAATCGCAGAACGTTTTGGGATTCCATAAGTATTCTTCTCGAACATAATAATATTTCTATTCAGTTGGATACACTAAATCCGAGTATCTTTAACAATGTAATTGGTCTCGATCAGAGTATTGATCTCTTGAGCATCCTTGATTAGCCAACGTACCAGGTCTCCTTTCTACTATAGTGAGTGAGTATTGTTTTGCGGCGCTTTTAGCAATATTCCAGCAATATAACGGCGGGGGACAGCAGAAATGGGCTTCACACATTGAACCCATGTCGGGAAACCACTAGGCTATCCAATGACCCCCTTTCTACTATAGGATTTACGGCAACATATTTTAGATATATGAACACTGGATAATCGAGGATGACGAAACATAAGGGTGTTAACATTCTGCAATATCTGATCTACAATGACGACTTTACGCTGAGGGAGTGAAAGATAGTCATCGAGCATCCATTCCAAAAGCTGCTTAAATTCCAAAGCGAGGCTTACATTACGGTGCTAGTTTGAGCTCTGAGGGGCTTTCTTCACTTAAGTCCCCATTGGAAATTTTATTACTGGTGTACAGAAAGGGAACTCCATCATGACTTCTTTGATTCACAGAAGACTTTGGGTCTTCCAGGCATCGGTATCGCTCAAAAACATCCTTTACCAGACCCTTTGACAGTGTCTTACATGGTAATATGGTTGACTTAAAACAACGTGTGTAGTGTTGCTTTTAAACAAGATACCAAAACGAATCGTGAACAATAATAGTCTTGTAATTCATATGAAAACAAACATACATACCTGCTATCAACATGAGTTGAGCGAACACACAAAAGACTACCTGCGCCTTCATTGTGTGAAGATGTATAAAGATGTATTGTGTTGGGTGTTTATCTCCTTATCTGTAAGGAAGTATCTGTCTCAACCAGACGTTCCCGATACGATCAACGCGGCCGTGGCCATGTCGAGTGAGTGAGTGGTCAAAGATGGCGCGCGTGTCATGGTGCAGTTCCATACATCCAATATACATCCATGCACATTTACAAAGTGTACAAGGAAGTTCGAGATTACATATGAATCACAAAAATGTAAATCACAAAAAATATTTAGTACCTCTATTATGAATGAGTGAGTTTTGCTTAATGCCGCTTTGAACAGTATTCCAGTTATGTCACTGCGTGTCAGCTTAATGTGGGAGGAAAGCCCGAAGTGACGCAAGACTCATGATCAGACGTTTACCACTGTGGTGAAACCTACGAACACGTTTTCCAGTGTTCTGAAGGCAGGTGCCTTGGCATTTTGACGAACATAACGTCACAACTTTCAATTTTGATACTACCTTTTCATCGGGATGGGGAAAGATCTTTCTTGTACATTCTTCCTTCTTGGTGATGTGACTACTAAATCCATAGGTATCTGATTTGATTACTCAACTGACTAATCATCTGACTAATCAACCTTTGTCAAAGCATTGGCCGAATATACCCTCCCTTTAATCTCGTCGAAACGTATATTTGGTAAGTCATACAGATCTAGCAGTTCGTCTATTTATGGATGTTACCCTATACCGTAGTCGATGATAATGCTGCTTATATGCATTTAATAATGTAACAGTTAAAGGAGAGTTTGGAAACGGAAGGATGAAATTAAAAATGGCATTTACATTAGAAAGGGAAGGTCTAATATTTCTCACATTGTTAACCACATTCTCACTGTGACTGTCTGGCTGCTGTCACTAACGTGGACATTAACCGCACCTTTTGAAAACCAGGAAGTAGAAGCATGTCAGATTTATCTCAGATACAAAATGCCTCCTGTCATTTGAATCCAACGAGTGGGAAGTTGAATCTTTATCGAAGACTTCAATAGGATAAGGGAGCATCTCCAAAGTTAGCCAAAAGTTAATTGCTAAGATTATAGACCCCTCCCGCTCCCTGCATAGATATCTTTTTGTCTTCGCTGATGGAAAATCTATAGACCTGCTACAGCCCGTGCTTCCCCTAACTGATAATTTAAAGAATAAACATTTTCATCCGACATCGTAGTTTTTAATTGTTTGCATGATGAGAGTTTTGTGGGTTGAGTCTCATCAGGGCATGTCAACATATGTTTTGTTTGTTTGTTGTTCTACGTTATGACGGCCTGTAAAAACCGAGCCGACACACGAATTTTGATATTATGAACAACATCCAACGACTGACACGCAGCCAACCAAGTCACCGAGCATGAGCACCCGATTAACCATTACCATGGTAAGTGGATCAGTGTGCTGCTCTGGGGTGTAATTATCAGCTCCACGGGGAGTATACAACCCAAGCTAGAAGGTTAACAGTTATATTTACCATCTCATCCTACCGGGTATCCGTTTGATGCTGGGTGAAAAGAGACATATTCATGAACCTACCCTTCCTCAGGCGGCACCACATGTAACATGTGTTTCAGTGTTGGCAAGAGTCAAGCAAAAGGCTGGAGCTGATGGAATATTGCTCGACATGAACGGAAAGTTGACAATTGGAAAGGTGAAGTCATCTCGCCTGTCATACAGATTTGAATGTGGATATTTTTTTCAGTGAGCTATTCATATAACTCTCAGCGATATTTTGCTTTTTACGCCCATTGGAACCTCTTTTGAATTTTTGGTTATTCTCTGGCGTTGACGTTTGATATTTTTATACATCGATGACATTAACAAGTAATCACACTGAGATATGTACATCTTCCCGTGGCAAGGGAGTTAACTGATTATAAAAGTCCAGCTTCATCCTTTGCCGAACTAGGCTGGAATTTCGTGACCCTATCGCAGTGTCATCATTGGCTATTGCGAGTTATGTCCCTTATATGTCACTCCTATTGACCAATCAGATTCCACCTATCATATTCCTTGCATTTGCTTCAAACAAAATTGCGGCGCCCAGTCATGACGATCTGATCGATAATCAAGATCTATTTCGTCATAAAAAGATGAAAAGATTTGCAAAATATCTGTTAACGCCGAGTTGACGGTCTACATGCTTTTCAAATCCTGCAATCGACGGAAACTGGACTTTTTATAGCCAGTCGCCTTGAGAAGATGAGATATGTACGACACTACATATAAGCAGTCATAATCACCCATCCCTAAAAGATCTTGAATAATTAAGATTGAAGACTACACACGCCGTCGGAGTATGAAGACAAAAGATAATATATAATATCGTTATAGCCTTTTAGATACATGTTTGGATATAGATTAACAGAAAACAGTAACTATGCTTCATATAAAGTTCAATAAGAATAATTTTATTTTAAATTAAATCATGCATCTTTCAATACATATTCACAGTTACCTGTGTATGTTCATGCACAGCGCTAAATTGGGGTATGTGCGTTTGTTTGTTACCCGCCTCAAAACCAAACACCGAACCTCATAGCATTGTATTGTCGCCTAATTACCCAGAGAGAAGACGTCTTCGCCTGTTCACGACTTTCTTCAAATGGTGAAATACAGCACACGCGTCCCTTACATCATTCCGTAGTAACGTGTTGTCATTTCGAAGGCGTTCTGCTGTGTCGTGGGTAACTATATCATTGCCTGTGCGAAATAAAAGATTCAGTTGTGACAAGTCTCCAGCGATAATGGCAAAGTTATTGTTTGTCGTAGTTTTGACTGTGCTGTCAATATCTGCATTTACAGAGGCGCAATTCTTTTTCCGTAAGTAATTGTTTCGTTTTTCGTTGTTTGTTGTTTCTCTCTTATCAAATCCGTAAATAGTTGACGTCTATGCGCAAAGTCAATATACTCTGATGACATTATATCAAATTTCAGAAAAACGTGATCTCGTCATGACATCGTATTTTTGACATTATACATGTACATGTATACCAAGCTACGGCACCCTCTGCGCAGATTGTCTTTGAACACCTTCACAAATTCAAAAGTATATTTAAACCCAGTGGGACAATTGATTATATAAAAGCGACAAAACACTTTCCATATTCACAAGAAATATCTGCAAAGCAGCATCGATTGTACGATTACTATATCACGAGCATGTGATTATGAAGTACTATCAAATAGTGAGGATACTGGGTATTAGCGTAAATCCCAGTGTATCCTGCCCAATAAGTGGCACCAAACACAAACACATGCAAAGACAAGTCAATTGTTCACCTGAACAAATTTGAATATATGTGTTAAAGTGTTTCCTTTTACCTACATAATAACCAGGATGGGACACGCAGTTGAATGCGATAAAAGCGACCAAACCCTTTTCCATGTAAGCAGAGTCGATGGTACTATTTCGACTATCACATGAGCATGTGTTTATGAATCACTATCAAATAGTGATGATACCAGGTTTTTTCCAACAGAGGACAGTTTGACAGACCATTGGCTAATATAGGTCTATAGGAGAAAATATGCCCTCATTCCAAGTATTGATGTTGTCCTATATGTCCTTTAATAATTCGGACAGTAACACGATTCATTAAAATACTTGGCAAATATTAACAGAGAAACGGGCAAACAGATTGTCAACATTGCCTTGAAATGTCGGCAACGAAATGTCATAACACAGAACGACTGTCATATTGCAGGTACAAATGCAGGAAATATGGGAACGTACATGTTGTCCTCTATGTGTCTGAATATTGCAAATCTAGATTAGACTGAAGGAAAATACTTTATCATGAATCTATGACTTTGATGTGAAAACGGACATCCAAGCTATAAACAGTCACTATGCCAAATAGGAGTAATTTAGCTGTTTTGTTTTAAACGACTTCTACTCTAGAACTAAGAGATAGATATCAAACTCGCCCTGGGGTCCAGCCTTGCCTCTGGAAACTTAGATCCTGGATCTTAACATGGAAACGGTTCAGATCTTTATACTACTTTTGTATCTAGAGAAGTACACGTTCATGCTATCAGATTTGCCATCCACCCCTTTTAAATGCTGGCAGAGTCAAAGCTACGAAATATTTGCAGTATTATATACCAGTACAATGCAAATGTATATTTTGTCATGATTGAGTAAATATCCAGGTGAGCGATACAGGCGCAATGGGCCTCTTGTTTGTGTCACAGCATTGATTATACAACTTTACAAAAGGGTGATTTAAATTGTAAATCTAATATCAGGGTTATTACAGTCTAGAGCATTTTCACTTTTGAATAATAGATTACAGTTCTAGTGTGATATATAAACCGTGAGAACAACAGTCTGGCTCCAGCAATGGTTATTTTACTGTGGATAATGATTTTATCTTACAGTCTGTTGTTGGTCGCATGTTAAGTAAAAGAAGGGTGAAGTGCGTGGTTGGTTAGTGGATTTTTCAAATATCTTTGATTGGGTAAACCGATATAAATTGTGGGCAGTTTAAGAACATAAGGGAGTATCACCGATATCAAATCATGTATTGAAAACATGAATATATTTCTCAAAACCTATCGCTGATTGATCGGCGATCATACCCTTATTCCAAATATGGGCAGAAGTAGTTGCACCGGTCTCAGCGATCGCCAGTCGGTCGCAAAAGAAATCAGTCGCCAAGAGGTCGCATCGCGGTCGCATTGTCTGTGTGACTGTAGCTTTAGAGCCCTGATCTGTGGAACCCGAAGGCAGCAGTAACAGTGTTCTTCTCATATTAGTCATACTGTGATTTCATTTGTTATACATTTAAGATAAAGTAAGACGAGTTCTATGGATGAACAACTTCTTTATTACAATAATTGTTCATCCATAGAACTCGTCTTACTTCTAAATGCTACTCAAAGAAGAAACTTAAGATAGTTTGGGTGAAGAAAAAACCACAAGTTTGAAAGGGAGAAAACATGTTTCGTGTGACCTCAATGATCAATATAAATAACATCAAGCTACCCTAATCAGTCTTGACAAGAGATTTCTTGTTAAGCTAGAAGACGGAGAAAACAGTAAATCCATATTACACATATCATCGTCATCTTATATAATACAATATTTGCCGCAGAGTGTCCTCCAAACTGCCACGATACTGAGTGCACATCCATGGGCTGTGTCACCTGTGACCCGGGCTACTGCAGATACTACAGCACAACCAACAAGTGAGAAGAATACGGGATGAAGGGTAGAATGGGATGAAATATCTAATATTACCTATGAGGATAGACAAATCGTGTGCTACAACATTCCCATGTTCACAATGCCCATTGTTTAATTGAAGACGATATGGCGTCACAGTGCTTCATTATTGACAAAGATTCGATATGTCATCCATTGTTCGCATTATAAATTGATGACACAACGTCATCGGAATGAGAAGGTGCAACATAATGAGTTTTATTTAAAGCAGTATCAAATATTCGATAACATGGCTATAAATTGACTGATCTACTGATGGTAATACGTTTTTGTCCGACAGAATAGGCATATGCGTCCTTGCATGCCCGACTGGAATGCACTGTTACCATGGTGTTCTCTCCGTCTGTACGAGTAAGTACACCATACTCAACCTCGATGTATTAGAATCTGTCCACCGAATACGATAGATACAGAAAATACTGATGAACGTATAAGAACTGCCTTCTCATGGTAGGTAGAGTTTAGGGTGCGGGTGTGACGAGTGGAATTTGGACCTTATATGACATGATAGACACAATTTTTTGGATAACAACTTCTTTAATACTGTAAAAAGCGACGTTTCGGTATAGATCCTTATACCGTTGTCAAGCAAGACTGAATGAGGGACATAGTGCAGAATATATATAGCAAGTGGAGGATTAACAGTAGAGGATTAACAGTAACAACAAGGGCATACATGAGTGGGATAACATAGGTAGGTGTGACAACAAGGATGATGCTATCACAACACGATGGACAGAAAACACATAGCTAGAAGCCAAGTAATGCCTATCAAACAACTTATATGACATGACACCATCTCAATCGGTGAAGACGATTCAGCTGTTTTCCCGTTGAGAAGCCAGAAGCACATGCCTTTGGGTGACGTGTGCTGCATGGAGTACATACATACGTGTGGTGTTCTTGCAACACCGACGCCCTGTACCGTAGAGACCGCTGTATATTCCTTTGGGTGACGTGTGCTGCATGGAGTACATACATACGTGTGGTGTTCTTGCAACACATGACGCCCTGTACCGTAGAGACCGCTGTATATTCCTTTGGGTGACGTGTGCTGCATGGAGTACATACATACGTGTGGTGGTCTTGCAACACCGACGCCCTGTACCGTAGTGACCACTGTATATTCCTTTGGGTGACGTGTGCTGCATGGAGTACGTACATACGTGTGGTGTTCTTGCAACACTGACGCCCTGTACCGTAGTGACCGCTGCATATTCCTATGGGTCGTGATACACATATTTCTGTGTTAGGGATGGCGCTGCAATATTGCTGGTTGTAAAATAAAAATCCACCCATTCACTAGACTTACAGCGACTGTAAGACGATCAAAACTAACAACGGGAGGCCGGAAATTAGGACCACCAAAAGAACTGCTGAACTCACCATCGGATTTCGGGCATTCGTTATGATTGAGAGTTGATATGATTTATCACTTATAAAAACAATGAATAAATTAATGCAATAAACACTCTCTGTTTTGAAATATTTCATAACGACGGAGATATAAGGTAAGAGTTGTTATTTTGTCTAAATGTGGAGAACTCCAGATATTTGCTGTTCACCTATCACCAGTGGAAAGGAAACCGAACTTGAGAGTTGAGGTGAACCGTCGTTTTCAAGATTTCTGGACTTATAAAACGATGTGCGTGGGTGCATGCGTGCATGTGTGTGTTAGTGGGTGTAAAGTCCAGACTTAGCCGGTTTTATAGCGGTACACCCGATGCGGCAATGTAACACGGATGCCCGGGGTCAGATGCAGCATAATGATTCGAGAAACCCGAGGGAGGCTGCCGAGGCTACTCATGAAACACATTTATCATCCATATTCCACTAGCGCGCATTTGCAAGTCAATATGAGTAAATCTTTACATGCATTTCGTTTTTGATAAGGGGACAATTATTCAATTCATCATTCAACAATATAGGTAACTCTGCGGCTTAATATATGGGAGATCTTAACTTCGGTTTCCTGAGGTGAGATTGAACACAAGCATTATTCAGTGACTTTACATTGAATCACTGACAACGCGGCAGCATTTTTCTTATTAGTTTTACAAAACGTTTACAGAAAAAAAACCTTGCCAATAATATTCAAAACTTTTCATCTGATTTATTTTCATTTTGAAATTAAAGCCACGGCAAATGAAGTTTAAGTCGCCCAATTATTGTTTTTAAGTGGCAAATGTCACTACTTTGTTGACTGTTTGATACGGCATATAATCAACTATGATTAAAAGCTTACGTATAAGTGTGACATTTGCAAACTTCACTGAGAAAAGTCTGTTTCCTTTTTTGGTTAAGAGTAAAATCTGTTTTCTGAAATTCGTGATTTTTAGTGTGTTTTTGTATATGTTCAAATGATGTTTCTCATTTACCAAAAATAGTTTTTCCATATATATCCATAGTAGATGCTAGTACATACAAGTACATACAAGTACAAACAGGTACATAAGGCATCAATCCTGAGCGAGTAACAAGTCGCTAAACCAACGTAAACCTCAACCTATAAAAACCTCATTCACAAAAGTAAGATCTTATATGATAGTGAGTGGAGACAGTGTTGACGTGGATGGGTTGCTATCGGCGGGGTATGCATTCATATATTTTGCGACAGACGCTTTTAAAAAAAACCATATTTCATAACGCATTGTAATTTACCCAGTAACGCATTCAAACCATGCGATCTCAAAGGCACATTAACTGGCGGGTGTGGATGACTCAACAGTGCCCTGATGTCAATGCCTTAGACAACGAATTTGTTTGTCTGTTGGGGCTATTAAATTTTCATGACCAGACTTCATGTTACCTGATCACAAAGTGTTCGCAATCAAATGTGGTTTCTTTTGTTAAATGAATTGCCGTGTTCACATCAGATCTAACCTTTCCTTCCCTTCCCACAGGTGAATCTAACATATCAACACCTAATAGTCCTGATGGCGTCACTTGAAGCATTGTAACATGATGACACCTAGAGGTCGTGAGAATCGTGTCGTCGACCGCTGGTTCGTTTTGCCCTTGTTATGATCTGAATGGTGCGCGGTAACCCAGGTAACCCAGCCCTACACTGAAAACATAGCGTGTGTATCTCCATTCCACCATGACGAAACAAAAGGCGAACTCTTTGGTGTTAGAAAATGAATAAAGCGGCAGTGGGTTGTCGATCAGAATTTACGGAATCACCGACAACAGCCTTTGAAACAAAATATGGCGCTCTATATGCTCAAGCAGTTTGGTGCCGTAATACTTCACTCCACCGTATGCCAGGCACAGAAAGTAGGTAGCACGGCAACGTCGTGAGCTAATATGGGTGGGCACCCCTAAAGAAAACTTAGCAAGCCTTGCAAGATTTTGTTCTTCACCGCGCGTCACTACTATGGCGTCATTTTGTTCATTGTGACGCAAAAATATGACGTCAGAGTCGTACAAAGTCTTTCTGCTTGAAAAACACAAAGCTTGAAAAACATTCTCTTTGCAGATTTCTATCATGCCATACATCCTTTGAATATCGTAATAACCTCTCCTTTGCACGTAAAAGAAGGACTGTAAAAGAAGTACTGTTGTAAAGATATTAGCTTCCGTGGTGATACGTTCGTCAATCGGCTGTTTCAATTAGAGCGGGTTTATCGCGATTTGATACCTCTGATTGACCAATCAAAATCGAGAATTTATAAAAAAAAAAACGGTACAACTGCCAATAATCGAACACACACTATATTTCCAACTCTCTCAAGTTTTCAACTTCCAATCTTTTATTAAGATTTATTTACTATTCACTGCTTTGTAACTGGAGAGAAAAGTGAGACAGTGACGACAGTGTCGCGTTCCGACCATTATGTGCTGAAGTAATTATTTGTGTTTGTTTTACATAGGTGTGATATAAAATTTGCCGAACTTCACATTGAAAAATAACAGAAAAAATGATGCTCACCAATTAATTAGGATGAGCGATCGGTGTTAACTGTATCAGGTCCGTTCAACAAATTCGCATCACTGCGACTGTGCTTCAAACGGAGAATGCGCTAGATTTTATGTGCGCTTCAGAGTACCCATGTTTGATGAGGTCAATATGACTTTATTCAGACTGTTTTTGTAATAGTATTGTTTTAATGTGTCTCATAAGCCTTGTTGGCTGGGCATCATTACTTATTTATTGTATTTTAAAATGATCATGATAATATAACATATGATGTGTGACACAACAATAAAATATATTTCTTCTTCTTCTTCTTTTCTTGTTATAGCTATTCTCACTGCTGCTGCTTGTACTAATAAACCCTTCCCTATGTAAGTATATATATACATTTTAGGTTTATTATTCAAAGAAGTGTCCTGAACGCAACATGGCTACATAGCCACGGTATTCCTATTTGTTATGAGTTGTTATTATACTAACTTTCGGACAATAAAACAAGAACAATAGTTTGTTACAAATAAATGGGCGCAGTATATTATAATTTGTTGACAGTAGCCGGGAGCCTAGGGACCCAAAACCTATTGTCAGTGCCTACCCGAAGGCACCAGGGCAACCCAAGCAAAGGAAGCACACACCTACGAGGGTATAAAAATCCACATCGATAGGGCCTCCTTAAGCACAGAAGCAAAAACCTTGTACACAAGTAGTGCAAGTACATACAAATCAAAGTATTACCAGCAGGAGTGTCACACTGACTGGCGATACTGGGAGAAGTTGACAGTAGGGTATCACATAGCCTGCTATTTCTCCAGCGAAGCAAACTCAATGCAATAACAACCAGCAAAAAGCATTTGGCCCCCAGACTCCCCGCCACCACTTCTTGTCTATACAAGAATGTCCCACCAAATGCAGCATTGCTAGCAAACCACCAGATTACCGGTATTAATAAGCTAGAATGCTAACAACTGAATGGTACTCAAACCCTCCAGAAGGCTGTCATGCAAAACTGTTAAATAAATGTCATTACTCAAATGAGAGGTGGGTCCTATCATACGAGGGCTGGTCAAAAAGTTCTAAGCCTGACTACCTATTAACCATGAGGTATAAGAAAGTGAACTAGTCAATGTAGTACATTGTTTCAGTAGTTCATTCCAAGTGTATGTGGTCTGTTGAGGCCGTTTGTATATAAGTGACAGCCAGTTGAACGCAATTGGGGTCCAAATGGACACAGAAATAAATACTTAGAAAGAGTACCGAGCAGTCATCAAGCTTTTGAAAAATACTCCTTAAGACGCCAATGTATGTTTACCATAACCATCGAGTGTTTGATCGATTTTATACGCTTGATGGGAAAGTCTGTGTTGTGGTTGCTGAATCAGTCTGCACCAATACTGGACAAAGGCCCTTGTGTGGCTGCTTTAACGAGTGTCAGAAATGCAGTACCCTACTATTATAGTGTAGGACCTTTGGCAAATGCTACAGATATCACGGTAACTAGGACATGAAGCTACGGTCTCTGATTGTTTACTACTTACCGCGGTTTGATTGTTGTTCCCCTAACTAAAAATATCGACCGATCAAAGAGCTGCTTCAAGCAACGCCACAAGGGCATGTGGCACTGGAGCTGCTATGGATGTAATATGATACGGCATGGAGACTCTGCCACATTCAGAAACGCCTGAACACGTAATACTATATTGCACACATTAACAGCAACACAGAACAACACTCCAATCCACACTAAATTGCAACAATCAAATGACACTAGCAACGGTACTTAACCCCCTAATTGGCTTACAAACCTTTAAAGCACTAGGCATATATCTAATCAAAACAGGCCTACTAGGCCGCATTTAAAAAAAGGTACAACAACCCTAAAATTCTAAACCCATAAAACACACAATCTCCATTTAGTGTATGACGATCTATACTTTGACTGCATTCATACCGAGGAACAAGTCACCTGGCCTCTATTTGGATGTTGAAGTGTTTCTCACCACCTGGTACCTGCTGAATACTAGTCCTCCACTTCCTGATGTCTACAATCATCGTTTATACTCACCATGCATGTGTACCAGTATACGTGGTGGCACGTGGCACGTGCACAGCGCACAGGTCACAAATCAGGTGAAGTTAAGCAGCGCCGGTCTCGGAGAGTAGTTAGATGGGTGAAACTATAGCGGGACTACTGGGTTTCTAGGGCTTCGGTCCTGCCCCACACTGAAGCACATGAACCACATGTGGTGTCTCCTTAGGCAAATGACTTTTTTCGAAATGTGGCTCTGATCACCGGTAGGATGAGATGGTAATGTGGCTGTTAGCCTTCTAGCGCCCGACAGGCAGCTTTGGGTTGTATACTCTCCAGGGAGCTGAGAATGAAAGTCGAGTGCTCGCTGATCCATTGACCGGGGTTATAATCAGTGTTCGAAATACCTGCCTGCCCGACCGTCCGAGACGGGTTGATTTCAACTCGGGCTGCCAGATTTTCAAATCCCCCTGCCCGACGGTCGGGTTATATTTCATATGTGACAATATTCTAAATATTTCCCGATGAT